GTACTTCGCAATATTAAATTCTAATTCCTTAGTGATCGCAAAACAAAGAATGTTATAGGATGTAGTATTATAGCATAGGTATAGTTTGAATACTAGTTTGCTGTGAGAAACCCAAACTCTGATACCTTATTAGCATTAAATTTAGATGGTTGCTTGACCAGTAGCTGTTGAGTTTGCATGAGCTCTTTATATTGTAAGTAGTATTTGAACTGGAAAAAAGAACATTGTGAGCATATTCATATGTTCAGGAATCTTTCCTTCATCTAAGTACTTTTGCTTTTAGCTAGAAATGGGAAGACAGAGGACAATAGTGTGAACTATGGCCAAGATCTAGTCATCTGGCCATCTATGCCACAGTCCTCAGAAACACAAACAAAACTGAGTGATCAATATGACCGTGAAATTTTACTCCTGGGCATATACTGAAAATAATTGAAAACAGGCAAGCAAACAAGTACATATATAAGCATGTTCATAACAGCACTATTCACAATAGCCAAAAGATGTTCATCAACAGATGAATGGATAAAGGAATTGTGGCATATACATACAATGGAATATTATTCCATCATAAAATGGAATAAAATAGTGTATATGGTACAACATGGATGAGCCTGCAAAATATTAGGGTAAGTGAATAAAGCCAGACACAAAAGGTCAGTATATATAATTCTATTAATACAGAATGCTCAAAAGAAATAAATCTGTAGAGACAGAACATAACTTGGTGCCTGCCAGAGTATGAGAAGAGGAGGGGGTAATGGAGAGAAAATGCTTAATGGGTAAACGGTTTTATTTTGGAGTGAAGAAAATGTTTTGAAACCAGATAGAGGTAGTGGTAGCACAACATTGTGCTTTACTAAATGTTACTGAAGTGTTTACTCTAAAGTGGTTAATTGTACATAATGTGAATTTCACAATATTAAATTATTAAAAAAAAAAATAGAGTGGCCACGTTGAAGCAGTATCACATCCCATATTCTCAGAGTCACAATTGGTTTAAATACATCTACTCCATGAGGAGAGAATGCGGAGTTTGTCATTATTGATCCTAGGGAAGCTGATGAGGGCTGGAAGCAATTTCACAGTCTTCTTGAAAGATGAATTCAATTTCCCTCTTAAATATATTCTATTTTATTATGACATTAGATTATCAGAGCTTGTGGAAATCACTATTAATGGCTAAGTTTCTGTCCCATGTGCCACTTTATTTTCCATGCTTGCCTGAGATTTCAGTTGGTCTCATTGATCCATCCGAGAAAATGAAAACAGGAAAGTATAAACGCTCTTCTTTTGAGATGGATTCTCTCTCTACAATGGGAAGGTAATTATACTGATGTGGATGGGCAGATGAGGTTATTCAGGCTCAAGTGCTTTATTTTTGGCTCTTAAATGGTTTAGATTCACCAGCCATATAAGTAAAATGATCTGGATAATTATAAATAGTTTTTATAGTTTATTTGAACCAGCCTGTGAAGCTGTTGGTGGTTATTTGTACACATATATGAGTGGCAAAGCAAGTGCTTTCCATGGCAGTGACATAAATCTCTAGATTTTTCAGATAAAGAAGACCATTAGGTTTTGTGGCTTACATCTTTGAAAACAACAGGTTTTTTTTTTTAAAGCTTTGTGTATTTTGAGAGCTGTCCCATATGCTAGAAGCCTTGTTATGTATGTTGCATAAATGATTTATAATCCTTAGAATATCTCTGAAAAGTGTTTTTATTTCTTTATTACAGATGAAATAACTGAGGTTCCAGAAAGTTAGATGACATACTCAAGAGGATAAGTGGTGCTAGGATTCCCCTTCATTTATTTTTACTTTTATTTTTATTTTGTTTTTAGGATTTGCCTGTAAACACTTAACTGTATACAGCTAGGACACTTTGTAACTAGGATCCCGTTGTGCAGTTCACTCACAAATTAAAGACCCTGCTTATGACTAGTGGTTTGGTTTCCATAAAGAAAATTTCATCTGTTTGCTCCCATGTATGAATTAGCCTGTATAGACAAGCTATCAAAATGTTGGTGGGATTATTGACATTTAACTGCACTGAGGAAATAGGTATATCAGTTGATATGAAAGCTTAGATTTTAAAAAGCATTTGAGCTCCTGACATGAATACTGAGGGTGCTGAATGTTGATTGCAGCGGGTGTTAAATTTGGGTCATGGCAAACCTGAGCAACTGGGAATTTAAGGAAGGCAGAAATATGACAGAAGTTGTGTGTCTAAGTCATTCATAATTTAATGTCAAATCACTCTTCCAAAGTGGATTTCCTCTTCTCTTCTGGCAGCTTCCCTATTGTCTTCTGAATACATTGTATTTTCCTACCACCCTACTTTTGTTGGTACTTTCATTGCCTGAAGTAGCCTCTTTCATTTCCACCAAGTTTCTACCATTCTGTTTTTCCTTGTTGAAAGCCTTCTGCTATCATGTTAGACCCCAGAGGACCTTCTCTTCCCTGAGCTACTATAGTATTTTCTGTTGGAAACACATCTTTGGAATTTGGCATTTACTTTGGACTAAGTTTTCTCTGTATATGTTTATAGCTCATCTCTGTTATGAATCATGAACTTGAGGGGGGTAAATAATAGTATCTTTGTCAATTTTTTCCTCATCATATGCCTTGGACATAATACATATTCATCAAATAGTATTTGATATTTGTATAACTCTTGAAGGCTTGGTTTTCTGAAAACATATTCATAAAAATACCACTTCTAGGAGATATTATTCTCAAAAAAGGATGGTCACTGGTCCAGTAAGGCCAAAAACACTACCCACCTTTACCACCCTAGGAAATTTACACTGTACATTGGCATTTTCAACACTCTGAGTAGTTCTTCAGTAGTGAGACCAACTTTACTGTTTTAACTCAGTATTCACACTTTTCTTTCAGTTTTTTGTAAGAACCCTACTAATGCCTATTATTCACCAAAAAAAAAGTGCTTTGCCAAATATTGCTTTAAAGTGATTTTTTTTTTTTTTTTTTTTTTCCAGATACTGCTTTAAAATGCTTTGTAGGGGCACCCGGTGGCTCAGTGGGTTGAGCCTCTGCCTTCAGCTCAGGTCATGATCTCAGGGTCCTGGGATTGAACCCCGCATCGGGCTGTCTGCTTGGCAGGGAGCCTGCTTCCCCCTCTCTCTGCCTGACTCTCTGCCTACTTGTGATCTCTCTTTCAAATAAGTAAAATCTTAAAAAGCTTTGTATAAAATCTTAAAGAAAAGCTTTGTATAATATTATGAATATTAATAATATTCACAAATGTGAAAATTGACTTTTGATTAGATGCAGGTTGGGCATTTGTTTGGTCTCCTTGCTTCTGTTCTTGGGAAAGCACCATTCCTCAGCCATGTTAGGGTGTGTGTGTGTGTGTGTGTGTGTGTGTGTGTGTGGCAGAGGAAGACCATCTGTGTGCATGTGCATATATGTATAAAATACAGTGTGGACTCAACCTGAAAATGGATTAAGACTGAAAAGAGAATGGTTGGGACTGGTCTTTCAGCTTGATTATCTGCTAGAATCTCTATTACTTCTCATAATATGCTTGAAAAGTTTTATTTGTACCTCAGGGGCAATGAGCCTGGCCTCATTTACAAATATGAATGCAGATATTAACAGTGTACTGTCTTCTCCTCCAGGCAGTCTTGCTCACTGTCGGCTGGTTTTATTTACTTCCTCAGCAAAGGAATATCCATCTCCTTGGAATTAGACACAATGTGGTTAATGGGAAAAGCAGAAGTTTTGGATTCAGAAAGTTTTAATTTGATTCCCAACTCAGGCCTGTGTGACCCTGAGCAAGTTTTCCTTCCAGAACCACTGACTCCTAGTCTATAAAACAAAATGGGTTATACCTGCCTCCAAGAGCTTCTTACAAGGATAGTGCCTGCCATAGAGGAGATGCCCCATAAACATTAGTTATTATTTTGCATCAAGCAGATTATGACAGGAGAATTCCACGGGTGTAAAGTCACAGAGATAAAATTCCCTCTTTCCTGTAGATGCCATTCCATACTCTGTGTTGTTACTTCAAACTATAAATGACATCATTATTCTTCGTGTCTTCTGTTTTTATGAGGTGAGAGTGAACAGGGCAAATACTAAGAGTTGAACTATTATTCATGAAGAGTAACACTAGGATTATAAGAATAGGAAGTAAATAACCTAAAAGAGAATTTTTAAAATTATTATAGTTATTTGAGATATAGAAAAGTAACTTAGATATGATCCCTTTAGTCTTAACATCTGTTCATTGTGAACAAACAAACAAACAAAACTACCCCCCATTATTAAATATATATGTGTGTGTGTTTTCATTTGAGTAATTCATCAGGTCATTCAGAGGGGGACTAATAAATGTATTATGGAAAATTTCATTTGGGCTTTCAACTTTTGTGTCAACATTATATAATTTTAACCACATGTCCCTTTCCACTTTGGTTTGGTATTATTTACCATGAGGTCCAAACAGAACAAAAGAACCATCATGTGATAACTTTGCCTAAAGTTACAGTTTTGGAGATAAAAAACACACTATGGATAATTAGAATGATGTAACTATTTATAGCATAGGAGAGAATGTTCAACATAAATTGAGGTTTGCATACCAACAGACTACTCTGGTGCCTGTTTTGCAGAAACACGTATACTTATTACACATGGTTGTCAATACAAGGTCAATCATGTCCATCCGTAGTCATCCATGGCTTAATTGTTCCTGGAAGAAGCCCATTTTGTCCTTGTGAAGGATGACAAATGAGAGTTTTGCTGTGGCATCTACCTTTCTAAATGCCAAGTGATCTCCTGGCAGTTTTCCTCGACGTAAATATTATGAATTGCTGAAGAAGCCATCATTTTTCACACTTTATTGGTTTAGACACCAGGTGAAGTCCTCTCGGCTACAGTGAAGTAACAGAGGAAGCAACACACCTAAATGTTCCTTAACTGTCCTTAACTGTGCATTAATCAGCATCTGTCTCAACCTGGTTGATTACAGGAGAAGATGTATCAGGGAGTCTCTGCCCAGCATCCCCGCCTCCTGAAAGGATGGCTTGTGAAATTCCCTGCCGAATGGATTGTGTGCTGAGCGAGTGGACAGAGTGGTCATCTTGTTCCCAGTCTTGTTCAAATAAAAACTCAGATGGGAAACAGACCAGGTCAAGGACTATCCTAGCATTGGCGGGAGAAGGTGAGTAATAGTAAGGGGTTCAACAGTGGAGTCAATTGCCTAGTTCTTATTTTTTTTCTAGTAGGCAACTGAGAAAGTCATATTGTGGAAGTAGCCACATACAGGTGATAGGTCTATTGCCGGAATCAAAATTTAGTCTCATTTCTATGCATGCCTTTTCTCTTTAATCCTCTGGTTACTCTAGACTGAGTACTGTATTTACATGAACTATCTTAGCCCAAACTTATGTATAGGCCATGGCAGTCAGATGGATGTTACTTTTCATTACACCTTCTTTGGGATAAAAAAACAAGGTTTGACTGACACACATCCAGCTTCAGATGGCTCATACATTTGGGAATATAATTGGAATATGTCTGGTAAAAAGGGCTGCAAACGAGGAATCAAGAGATATGGCTTCTTGACCAGGAACTGCCACTAACGTTGGCCTGATTTTTTGTTCTGTCATGCTGGCGTGTTGTGAGAGGGAAGAAGATGAAGGCTCTGAAAATGGCTTTGAAGAAGCTAAAATGTGCTATGGAAATGTACTCGGGTGACATCAGAACAAATTGGAGGAGCAGCTGTTTCTATCATGTATAGCAATGGTCCCTGTCCCCAGACACATGTGTCCTTTCTTTCAGGCTCTCCCTTGGCTTTGTCTGCCTATGGCTCAGTTAGAACATCAGGATAGTGTGGCCACTGGCTGTGAGGAGCTCCTTTTGAAACAAGATTCTGTTCTGTGATCCTGAAAAATGGGGCCAGGGTCAAGATGAATGATGATTTTCATATTCTTAAAGTGCAGTTGCTTCCCGCTCTTGTCTTTTATATTTCTGGAAGGAGAAAAAAGTCAGTAGTATTTAATGGGAAAAAAATAACAAGAATAACAAAACCAAGGTCACAAATCTTTTTGAGCATTTGGCCCACTGAATAAAACATCATAGGGTGGAAGAGTAGGAAAAAAATCAATACTTTAGATAAATGCCAGTTTTTACATGGATATAAAAATGTGAAAGAAAAGACAGTAATGAATTTTGATTTTCTGACTCACCCAGGAGTGTAAGGATGCACATCTGTCTGGTCTCCCTGCCAGTGGATAACACATTGTCAGGTATTATTTCAGAGTGTAAGGATGGGCTCTCTTCTGCCAAACTTTAAGAGACACTTCTGGATTTCTCAAATTGCAGTAAAATGCATTGCTTGATGGAGAGTGGGTGTTTTGAAATGATTCTCTGAGAAAAATAATGCTCTCTTAGGAAAAATAGGCCAGGTACAGGTAATGTGTGTGTAAGTATGTATATTTGACCTGATATCACTTCAAGGTCATGGCTACTGTATCTAACTGACTAATCTATGTAGTCATCATGTTACTAAAATAAAAGCAGATTTCTTTGGAGTTTATCTCAGAGATACATAATGCAAAGGTGGGAAATGGAATCTGTCTTTTGTTGTTGTTGTTCCTGTTTTTGTTTTTGGTCTAATCCGTGTATACTGCTGCCTATTAGGAGGGAAAAGTGAAAGATATTGCCTTCTGATTGTACTCAGGACAAAAGGGCCATGGCCCTAGAGTGGGCAGAAGGGTACAGACACCAAGCCTTTGGAATCCTGTGTCAAAAATACCATCTTTCCGGACCATTAAAACAGCAAAAACAAGGGCGCCTGGGTGGCTCAGAGGGTTAAAGCCTCTGCCGTCAGCTCAGGTCATGATCCCGGGGTCCTGGGATCGAGACCCACATCGGGTTCTCTCCTTGGCGGGGAGCCTGCTTCCTCCTCTCTCTCTCTCTGCCTGCCTCTCTGCCTACTTGTGATCTCTGTCTGTCAAATAAATAAATAAAATCTTTAAAAAAAAAAAAAAAACAGCAAAAGCAGCAAAAATAAGAACGACATAACAATAGCAACCTGGTAATAACAACAGCAACAACTATGTATTCTTTTGGATTTTGATTTTCACAGGTGGAAAACCATGTCCCCCTAATCAGGCCCTCCAAGAATATCGTTCATGCAATGACCATTCCTGTATGCAGCTCTACTGGGAGACATTACCTTGGGGCCCCTGTTCTGAAGACACATTGGTAACTGCTCTTAATGCAACCATTGGCTGGACTGGAGAAGCTACATGTGGTGTGGGCATTCAGACACGGAGGGTCTTTTGTGTCAAGAATCACGTGGGACAAGTGATGGCCAAAAGGTATCTCCAATAACTTATTGAAAGTGCGTTTGACTCTTAAAGACTAGAATATATCTCTCAAAAACAAAGGTAGAGTTATAATATTGATCATTAGTAAGGTTACAATACATGCATTAGCCAGTGGAAAGTAAGTGTGGCCCACAAATAATGAATCTGTTTGAGTAATCCAACATTTTCTTAACCCCATCTCAGTACTTCTGGTGTTTTTTTCAATCATGTAAAGACTAGGTCAATGTGAGGCTAAGTTCTCCACTTTGAAAGGATAGGGTTGTGTTAACACTCGCTGATGGGTTCCGTTGATCTCTTACACAGTGGGCAATAAATCCATATAGCCATTTGAATAGACTAATTCATGCCTGTAAGTACGTTGTGATCCCATACATGTTAGACTCTGCGCCTGAAGATAGACAGTTAAAGAACAAAACAAAACAAAAGTAGTAGAATAATTTGGATGTGGGAACTAGGATATAGATAGCAAAAAGGGTCAGGGACAATTGCAAGTGATAGAGGAAAAGAGTAATTAGGCAGAGAACTCAGCTGTGGGAGTTTTATCACTAGACCAAATGAGGAGGTGTGACTTTTCCTCAGTCCATGTGGGAAGCCTTGTGGAAAAGGAACTGTAAGGGACTATGAAGTGTACAGTGACTGGGTAACCGTCCTGTCCATGGAGATTTCCTCATGGCTTGTTTCAACTAGGCTCTTCCTTGTGGTTGAAGACCCCACCGCCATCACAGAAGTGATATATCCCCAGGATGGGCATGCTCAATCTTTTGTCTAGTGTCACAAACAAGGCCACTTAGAACTTTTCTCTGGGAATTTCTGAATTGGGAAAATGAAACCTTCTTTTCATTCTGGTCATGAGGCTCTAAGTATATGAATTGACAGTTGCCATAGGCATGGTCCTGGAAGAAAAAGCAGGCAAAGGGAGTGGAAATGATGCTCAGAAAGAAGCAGAAACTGAAGGAGAACATTTTTTGGCAGCATCAAGCCCTGACCCATCCTTTTGAAGATAACCCTACCCTTCCTGGCAACGTGGGCAGACACATTTGCTCTTCTCTCTAATTCTATCCAGTTTGCATTGCTGTCCTAGGCAACTCAAAACACCTGATTAATTTCACCTTGGGGCACCTTGATACTAGGCTGTGGGGCTTATCCCAACTGGCATGGAAACCACAATAGTTGTGTGAGGAAAGTCGTAGGAGCTCAGTGGAGGGAAGTGAACCACTGATGGCAGAAGTAGTGCTGACTGGCCAGGTCCTGCTGGGGTTGGAGCAACCTGTGAGCTGATGGCTGTGCAGATGCAAGTGGAGATGATATGACTTGCAGTGAAACATAGTCCAGAAGACCTCCCCTCTCTCTCTCTCTCTTTCTCTCTCTCCAAGGGTGGCTTCTAGAGGGCTGGAGTTGGATGTTCTTAATTGCTGCAACCCCACATGTTAACACAATGTCTGACATATAGTTAGTGTACCATAAATGGCTGGAATCCAGGACTGAACAAGATTGATATGTAGGAAAGTTACGGGGTTTAACAAGGATTGGGTATGAATTGCAGAAGATTGAGAAAAGCTGAGGTCTCTCCTTTGTTCAAGAAAAATTACGTGATCTACCATCCTACATTTTGGCAAAGGGGACTGCCGTAGAGAGTAATGACTAGATCAGATGTATGACCTTCTACTCTTATTAATTCATAAATATTATTTCTGCTTTAGACCTGACTCTACATTGCTTGTTCTGTTCTTTGGAATATCAAATTATGTCAGTTGTGTTTTGCAACTTTCCTGGTATGCGTAACACTGCGTGGACTGATCGAATCAGTGAGAGTTATAGCCAAACGTGGACAAAAATGTTTTACATATCATGTGGCTCAGGTGAAAATCTAAGTCGTGGGGTTATGGTAAAATCCTAAAAGGCTTATAAAGATATTATGAAGACATGAGAATTTCTTTTATCTTGGTCTGAGTTGCAGCCTTGATAATGTTCATTTTTATGGTGTAAATTTTCAGCTGCTTAAAAAGGATGCATGAAATATCAGCTTGAATATACAAATAAAATTAAATATGGCTTAGGTATGGTAGTAAACTCTACATATAAAATGCAGCAGACTATTATTCCTTATCATGATGAGACAATTTGGCATGCCTGATGTCTGATCTTCTCCCTGACACAAACTTTACAGCTCTAAACCAGAACAGGAAAAATCTACTTGATATGAATACGGTTTGTTTATTCCTTAGCAAAGGGACATTAGAATTAAGAGCAACACCAAATAAATTGTCACATTTAAAGGACTATTTGGACATGAGAATTTGGATTATATGATCTGGGAGCCCCTTTTCTATTTTTATAATTACTTCAAATGACAGTTCTTGTTTTTTTGTAAAAGTCTGAGCACATACATGCCATTATTGTGAATAACCCCTAGTTCTGCTCGGCTTACCATCACAAAAAATGAACTGTACAGATATTTTCCCTAACATACACACACACACACATACACACACACATACACACACACACAGAGGCATTGCTGATTACTTTTTACACTGCTAATGAAGCTGGAGACTTAACAACTTAGGTTGAATTCTTACTGTATGTCTCCAAACAGCCCTGCTAAATATGAGGAACCTGAATTGACTTGAGTAAAATTTATTAGAAACTTTTAGGTTAAGGACATTAATTGAGCTAAGAAATTAATAACTAGTGTCCAGTGAAGCACATAGTGAGATAGTGAAACTATCATCAATAGAAAATATATTTTACTCTGCCCTTTGGAAAAATGTCTATTTTTGTTCTTTTTTATGTGAAAGCTGTTGCAGTGGAAAGAGATTCCCTGCCATTTGTGAAATCCTTGGGGTGGGGGTATGGGAATAGGAGTAGCAAAGGAGAAGGAAACATCCTAAAGAAGGAGGGGCTTTCAGGGGAGAAGGAAGCAACTCTCCAGGGAACGGATGGGCTCATATAATGTGTTTTATCTCCAAGCCCACTGCACTGGGAGGCATTGTTCTTTGCAAGTTCTCGCTTCCCTGGTTTGGTGTTTGGTTTCTATTCAGTTGTATAGGTGAGACTGTTACCATTGTATGAGTAATAGAACTGATCATATCAGAAAATGAAAACTAGCCAGGGCAGAAGTGGAACAGAAGTGAGAGCTCATTGGGATAGTTCTGGGGTTTTGTTTGGTTTTGTTTCACTATTCATTGTTTTTTTATTTTTTTTCAGTTGCAGTGTACAAAAAATAATATTAAAAAAGATTAAAAGCACACAATTTGGAGCCTTCCGAAAGTCCTGATAAGGCACTTTCTGCCTTTAATGCGAAACACCTGCCATTGTGTAAGATAGAATAATACAGAGTTCCGTTTAAACATTTAATGTTGACAGAGTTGGCAGGTTTGCCCCAATAGCTGACTGAGACGTTCACTGGTTCCTGGGTAGGAGGACTGATCAAAGAAATGGAGCATTGTTTCTGCATCTTGATTATGGAGGCGTAACTAAAAAATGGCCGGTCTTTGTACCTCAGTTTGATGCATTTTAGCACAGTGCTTATAAGGATCCAAAGGCTATGGGGCGACAACGAGATAAGAGTTATAGAGCATTCCAGTGCTGGTCCAAGGAAATGTATGTGCTGAAATGAAATACACTCATCCTTTTATTGAGCGCGCTGCCAATCTAGAGTCTGAGCATTACGTGAAATTAGGAAGTATAAATTAGGACAAAAGCTAAGGTGCCATGCTTTGTTTACTAACTAAAAAGTGAATCCATATGTTTCCCTAGGTTTTAAGGCTTTAATTTTGTTTTGGAAATGGCCGGATGAATTAGCCTAATATCTCCAGGGATTTATTTATCTTCAGGCTCCAATAACATTGAATACTATTCAATCATTCACTTGCTGTTATTAAATATTTACACTGAGCTAAAATATGGCACTTTGAAGATATAATATAAGATGGAGTTCCACCATCAAATTAAAAATTAGTTTATGTATCGTGCATGCATAAACAGGCACACAGACACACATAGACAGACAGACAGACACACACACATACACACACACACACACTCGAACAGCATGAAGTGGTCAAAAGCCTTTTTTTTTGGTCAACGTCTGTACAACAACACAGAAAATAAACCTTACAGTTTTTCCTGTATGGAAGTGGGGGGCACACATGTTGCTAATGGTCAAAGAGAGTATTTTTGAAGACTATGAAGAAATTTATGAATATGAGAAATATGATGATTCTTGAAGGGGTAGACATCATGTGAATGGAAAGCAAGAGGAAGTTGAACCCCTGCAGAAAAGGTCAACCTTACTGGCAAAAGAAGTGAACTAAAAAACCGTTTTCACTGACAAGAGAATATTTGGCTCCTGTCTGACCAGAAATCACGTTCCAGCTCATGGCCTCTATAAAAGCAAAATAACCTCAGCTTGATCTTTGCCACTGAGGAGATGATACTGTTTCTCTCTTATGGACTGAAGGGAAGAACATGCAGAGAGAAAGGGGCTGTATTAGGAAGAGTGGGTACTATGCACAGCAAGTGTTTATTGTGAGTGTTGCTAATCAGGGGTAAATCACGTAGGCAGTGTCTGTTCCCTAAAAGAAATGAACACCTACTCCTAACTGACGTGAGCAAAATCCCTGCAGGATCAGCCTCCCTCTCCAGAAAGCCCGAAGCCAGCGCCACAGATATTTCCGGGCTATGTTGCCCATGGATGAGTGAGTTCGAAGTGGTTGGTTGGGCATGGGGCCCCTGCTGCCCCACTGAGCATGAGGGAAGCTGGTGTTGCTCAAGTCACACTTTCATTTCCAGCCATACACCAGGCACTGTTGGAGAGGAGTTAGAATAAACAACAGCTCAGTTTAATTTTACTAGATCTCAGAGCGTGAATAAAGGACTTGGGAATGGTTTTAGTGGCTTTTGCTATCTCTAGTAAAGTATGACATAAATTTTCCTTACCCGAGTAGCTTGTTTAAGTAACACTATATTCGCACAAAGACACTCTTCTTCCTCTTGTTTTGTTTATTGAGTTGATCTCTTTGATAGACGGCATTTCTGCATATGCTAAGGATGATTAATAATAATGCCAATAATAATTTATTGAACAATTCTGTTTCTGTGAGTGTCTCCATTTTCCATTTTTATCCAAGTGTTATATAGTCCATAGAAGAAGTAAAATCAGAGAGACTAACGACGACCAGCAACAGGTCCCACCCATCTCCTGCTCCCTTTAGTATCCCACATCTCAAACACAATCACAACTACATTTTAACAGTTGTTCTGTTTTCTCTCTGTCTCTGTCTCTCTCTCTCTGTTTTGACTTGGTAAGCCTTCACATGGTTCACAAGTCATAATGACATGCAAGGAGAAATATATAACAAAGAGAAGCCTGATCTGATGCTTCCAGCCCTGCTCCCACCCCTCTCTCCCTGCCCCCTGTCCTGCCACTGGCAACCACTTATAGTGTCTTCTCTCCATCCATTGTATCTTTATGTCAGTACAAGCAAACACAAGTGTATATTTTTCATTCTCTTCCCTTTCTCATGTTTACCTCTTAACTCTAGATGATACATTTCCCACACGTCATTCATACATGTCCTCACTTATCGATTTAAAATGCCCGTTCCTTGATTCCCTCTCATGAAAACAATGAACCTTAGCCCATTTACATCAAGTCCTGTCTCAAATCCCAGATTGTTGGTGTTCTGTGAGTAGGTTGCAATAGTACTTTTGATTGATCTTTTTAGAACTTTATTTCTGTTTTCATTTATATTTAGATCATCACTCGGCCCGCGGGCTTTGTCAGATAAGCACATCCAAGCCTCCGCTCCTTGTCTCCCTCGCCTTCCATCCCCCCTGCTTTGTCCATGGTGTCTTTACCTGATGGTGGCCCGAATGATAGCATGTACGTTCTGTTCCATGGTCAAGTTCAGTCTTCCACGTTTGGCTTATATATTGTTTTTCAAGTTTTGAAACCAAGAAAATGTTTTCATTTTGATCATTCTCTAAATTGATGGAGTTTGATGTCAGCCAGATTCTTGGATGACAAATCTTTCTTCCTCTTCTCCCACATCCATTATTGCCTATTCTCTTACTTTTTCTTGATGTTTAAAAACTGGACAGCCTTTGCGTTGTCACGTTCGTCATTTTGTATTCAGTTGGTGGACTTTTCACCTGAACTGTCATTCTTTCATCAGCTCTCTGCGTTTTGTTTTTTTTAATTCATTATTGCCGCATTAACTTTATCTCCTCTATTTTCTCTTCTGCCTTCAAGAAGGTCTGTTGATTGTCTGAACTTGCTACACTGGTGTTTTGTTTTTGTTTTCCCTATCATAAGTTTTCTCAAATGGTCTCTCCCCATGTGGCTTTGGGTCCATTGATGATTATTCCAGTGCCTCAGTTTATCATGTAAAAATGAAGGTTCTACTACTCCTCACTGTTGTCATTAGGAATAAATGAAAGAAGCTAGCCAAAGCCCTTAACTCAGCGCTGCCTATTTAATACCAGAGCTCATGCTGTTAAGTCTTACCCAGAGGGCATTTATGTGCTTTATGAGGAACTTCTGGGGACAGAATTTAAAATGCAAATATACATTGCTGAGTGCTTTCCTATTTTACTTTTTGGCACATCACAGTCTTAGAAGATAATGTAGTTTTTAGCCCTCTGTGTTCATAAAACAAGTAAGCAGGCAAGAAAACAAACAAAGTCTTGATTGCCATTTTCTGAGACTTTAGTTCTTCCAAGTGATTATGAATCAATTGACTGTAGATTTTCCTCCCAAGTGAGAGCATTTATTATTAGCAAAATAATGGAACTGCAGTGTTTCTCTAGTTAATGCTAGTTAGTATATTTGACATTTGCCATCTGTCGTATTTTGCTCATCACTTTACATGTTCTGAAGAGATACCTGCCAATCGCTTAAATATTTTAAAATTCTGTACCATTATCAAAGAGGTAGAGTACATTTACATGGTTTTCAATAATTTTTGTTTCCCAGTATGGTCATATATTCATATATTGGCTTGTATTTTCCTATTCCTTTTGTAGAATATCACTGATTTGATATATTACCCTGAATAAAATGCTTTTCAAAAAATACATCAGATATATTCATTCTGAAAAAAAAAAAAAGTCATTTTGAATTGATGCTGATGATGACACTTTCTGGTGAAGGCATTTCCTTTCTTAGTTTCAGGGATTGCTTTTTTCCTGGATGAGTGGAAAGTATTTTGGTCTTTAGGTCAAGAGAGCTGACATTGCCTTCGACTCGCTTCTGGCTGGGAGCTCTTGGGCAAGCAGCCTCCTGGCTCTCTCTTCCTTGTCTATAGAAGGAACATCAGGGCCTCCATGTGTTCTGTTCTGAAATCCTATAGTTCTCCGCTAAACCACTTACTTCTTCCAAGAGGCATTGATATTGTGTCTTCACATTGACAGATGTCCAGATTCAACTCGGCCCGAAACAGTGCGTCCTTGCCTTCTCCCGTGCAAAAAAGACTGTATTGTGACAGCTTTCAGTGAGTGGACGCCCTGCCCGAGGTCCTGCCAACCAGGTCGGTGCATTCTGGTTTTAGTGCTTTTCTTCCTACCACCTGAATTGTATTCCCCTACTGCTAAATAAATGAGAGACTGTAGAATGTGAGCATCCTTCTTTTCCATTTGCATGTCCCCCTGGCACACACGGCAAACACGGTTGGTAAAACTTGTAAATGAAGTCTTGGATTTCCAGATCCATCAGGACTTGGCAGGGAAAACATATTCCGTTAGTAGATGCCATAACATCCCCGGAGGGCCTTGCAGCAGTGCTCATCCTCTGGGAACCCTGCTGCGGTGTTTTGTACAGCCATACACATGTGGTTCCTTATAAAGCCTCATCACTGACACCATTTCTTTGTGGCTCCTGTGTGCTGCGAGTCTGACTAGAGGCATCTTTATTAGCCTGTAGGGCCTTAAGCATTGTGCTTACATCACTGATAAATATAAGCCTATGAAAGAACAAGGGCAGATATGTAAAAAGCATTGAATATGTGTAGGAATTGACAATATAAGATTTGTGTTTCTTTATTATAAATGGTGATACTTTATATACCTGGGTGTGTTTGGAAGGCAACGATCTGGGATACTTAATAACTACGTCCTAAAAACACACAGGAGCACTTTGGTAAAATGACCCTCTTTCTTAGAAATGTTTATTGTACCCCCCACACACATCCTAGCCTCCTCTGGGTAGTCATGTCCTCTCAGGCTGTACTAGCCTCCTGGAGGAAGGGGCAGGAAGCACTGCATGCAGTTCTGGGGGGAGAGAACCTTCCCCAGAGATTGAGAGCATTCACACCTTTCCTTGGGAAATTCCATCCCTGAGCATCCAGGATGCCCCACATTTTTTGTGTCACACGCTGTCATGGGTGTGATGTGAAAAGATGACCAACATTGACATAGTTCTGCCCCTGACACATCAAATGCCCTCTCAGTGATCAGTAAAGGGATAGTGGCAGCTACAGAACATTGTCCCCATCAGTGTCTTATATTGTGATATTGGGGAACCTGTTTAAGGTTTTCATAACCTGTGCCATTTCATCTTCGTACTGTTCTTTTGTCACAGAATTAATATGGTTGTATCCAGTGAGCTTCCTTATGGATAGCATTAAAATGAATATTTGGGATATGAAATAGCCTTGAAAAATACAATAGAATATTTTTCTGATTTTTTGAGGAATAAAAATAACAGTCTCCTCCAGACACTTTTCCAAACTTACTTTCTTGAATGGGGATATAAAGTAAGTGAGCTGAATGGGCAAGGTCATGCCGCTTCTAGGCAGAGCAGGACAGAAAAGCTATGATCTCTCTGAACCATTTGAAAGGCAGCATCTAGGAGGCTGACTTTCGGAATTTTAATGGGAATACATTTAAAAGGCATTCAAAGATAAGTAAAGATAAATATTGGGAAAATGCAGGAAAATACAATAAGCTATGATGAAGGAGTTTTATTGAGATTCGGTTATTTCTTTTAGTTTCTTCCCCATGAGAGATTAGCATAATTCCTCTGTTAAGTGATTACGGGAAAGACTGAATTAACAGAACATCCCCTGGCAACCAGATATTGGTGTTGGAGCTGTCAGGGTCCCCTGACGCTGGGGGAGGCACATTAGTTTTGTTGAGCCAGTGCGCCCTAGTGGCCAGAGATTACTTCGGCTGCAGCTCTTGCATGTACTCTACATTCAAGAAAATTCTCTGTTGCCTGAGAGCCTTCCCGCACTGGCTAAGGATGGAGGAATCAGAGAGCATGGGAAATAATTGCTCTTCCAGCAATTTTAAATTTTACTTCAATTTCCAGAGATTCAATTAGTTATTTAAATAGTTGGCATTGTAATGAAAATAGTTCTAAGCCTCTGTGGTCTTTTTTTTTTTTTTTTTTTGCCTCCAATTTTTCAAGCCTAGGTAATTCTTTTCACAGCCCGGCAGCCAGGGGACCTGGAGGAGCAAAGATTCAATTTTCAGATTTATTCCAACTTTCCACTTCAATCCTATTTACCCTCGTTTAGTTTATACCTTGGGGCCAGTATATTATTAAATAACTGTGGGTTAATTAGGGGGGGCTATGAGTAGGAGGAGAATACTGAAGGAAATGGTACCTCTAAACCTGTGGTCCTCAGACTTTATTGTTTCCGAATCATCTAGAAGCATTACTAAAATGCAGATTTTCAGCTCCATAGCTAGAAATTCTGATTCGGTCACTTTGGGATGGCCCCCCAAATGTGAGTTGTAAGTAGCTGCTCCTGAATGGTAATGCACTCTCCTTCTGATGATTTAAAAACAAAACAACAAACAAAAGTCTGTGAACAAACACTGCTTGAACTCCGGGCATACTGTCTGTTTTGCAGCTTCTTGAATGTATTATGTTCTTCCCAGCTCAGCCGTCGTAGAGTGTGACAGCTAAGAACACGACGCTGGAGCCCCGTGGGCAGGGATGAGTTTCAAAGTTTGTTCTGTGATGGGGACACATTACTTCATCTTTCTGTGCCTCAGTTTTCCTTGTTTATCAACAGGGTTAATAGTCACAGCTACATATATGACAATCACCTAGATCCCTGCCTTGCATGGAGTAAGCACTGGGCAAGCGTTTCTGTAGTTGCTCTGGGCCTTTGCACCTGTTGTGTTTGAAGCTGACACTGTATTCAGATGCCCCTCCTCTTTTGACCCTGTGCATTCACAGGGACCTGCATTAGCAGACTTTCCCCAGGAATGCTTTTCTCATGTTCCAGATCTCCCAGATGTGTTAGGCTGTCCCCAATATACCTCATTAACTAGATCATCCCAGGGCATCCTGCACATCCCCTTTTATGATATCCCCATAGTTATCTTTCCATGTCAATATTGCCCTTGCTCTAAGTCCATGAATGCAGAGACTACTTCTGTCATCTTCACTGCTGGATCCTCTAAACCCAACACAGTATGGGACATAGTTGTCACTCAATAACTACTTTTTGAATGGACCGATGTCCTGTAAAGAGAGAGAATGGTGTGACCTTGAATCTAAGCAGGATACTCTCTGTCCTTGAGAGTGTCCTTCAAAATATACTTTGGAGAATGGTGTTCTTGAATAATACCTTTCAAACTTAAATGCTCATATAAATCCCCTGGGGATCTTAGTAAATACAGATTCTAATTTAATAGACCCAGATGTGGCCTGGAATTGTACCTTTCTGTAAGCTCCCAGACAATAACTATGTTTTGGTTATGAGGCTCCAGGACAGAGTAGGGTTCATTTGAAATTTTTGAGCAAGGCAAAGACACGGTCGAAGTTGTAAAGTGAGAAGCATAGCCTAGGAACAAATCAGCAGGTGAGGACACAGGTAAGGTACGGTGTGGGGTGAAGAGGAGTGGTTTAACCTAAACTGAGAAATCAGGAGAAACATGGGCCAGAGCAGGTGACAACCTCGGCTCATGAGGAAGGAGGAACTCTTTTTTTGCAGCTGTGGTTTCAGATTGGTTCACCAAGTTTATGTTCACAGTCCCCAAATTTGGCTGCATAATGGAATCACCTTTAGATCTCTAGAATACACTTTTAATTTATGTTTGAGTTCTACTCCAAGACACTATGATTTAATAGGCTTTTCATACGATCAGGGAATCACTGGGTTAATAGGAACCTCCAGCCAAATCCATTTGAAACCTCTCAGAGAGCCAAGGTGGCTTCGGGGACCTGAGCGTGGGAGCGATTTGTGCCTTAGCAATGGATGAGTTGTGTCAGCTTTTATTTGGCCCTGGCTGGCTTCCTGAACTAAATCCTAGGACTTTAAAGTATTCTCAAGCTATGAACATCTCTAGCTAGTAGCCAGCCACTGCTCCTGCCATCATTCTCCTCCTCAAATGTGTCTCTCTTTAAATGCTTAATGATAGTCCCACACTTTTCTACGCAAATCAGGTATTTGTCAAGCTGTGGACCAGTTGTGGCCTCTCTGATTTTTAAGTGTCAGGAATAAATACACCGAAGGATCAAGTACCAGTCTTTGGTAATTTTCTTGCTGTTTTCTTTTATTCTTCCTTCAGCCTATGGAGCAATTCCTGCCTGAAGTAGCCAATGGTATTTGCTTAATAACAACACCTGTTTTCTTATTGTAGAGGTTCTCAGCCCTGTGCAGTTTTTTGTTTGTTTGTTTGTTTTTCAATGCACGGATGTCCAAGACTCTCCCTAGCCCTTGTTAGTCAGAATCTCTCCATGCTGAAGGGACATTTGCAAATTACAAGTTTCCTCAAGTGACTCCGAAAGTGGTAAGGATGAGAAATACTCATTAAATGCTTTATATGGTGCAACATGCCGTCACATACATTTTAACCAAATGTAGGAGATCACCGATAATTGTTCGTTTGGGTTTGGTTGGGAATTATCTTGGCCACTGCTCTTGTAATCATCATGCTTCATGTTTTTACTTTAAAGTCACAGATCAGTACTGATTTTCCAGGAGTTCTCTCAGGTTATCTTTAAAGGGGCTTACTTTATATTTCTAGTGCTGAATTTTATGAAGTTTCAGACATACATAAATTAGTACAATGTTAATACAGAATATTAATGATTACTAGAACGTTCTCTTGTGTAACCATCGCCAAGTGAAAACAATCGTCAATTTATTTGTTTTCCCGTGCTCTTGTTTTCCCTGTGCTACCAGCATCCCCCTTTCTATCACCCAATCCATGGATTATTTTGAAATAATTCCCAGATGTGTCTACCACTTCTATTGAAGGGTAAATATGTAGTTATTGGGCTGGAAGATAAAATGTACCATATTCAAAATAGCTCCTTTTATGAATTCCTAGAAACCACAGAGCTAATGATTAATTATTTGTCAGTATCAATAATTAAAGGCTGAGGGAGCTCCTTGAACTTTCATCTCTAAGGGACAAGCTGGAGAGCAGTGTCATGGAAACAGGATGGGCAAAGGCAAATTGCTGCAGGGAATTGTAGGAAACTTCATTTGGTGGTAACCTTTGTTCCTGTGTCAAGCCTCCTAGAGATAGGTCTTGAGGTTTTCACTATCAAAGAGAGTACTTTTTT